AACAGCTTCGTGTTGTTGAAATTTTATTTAAAAAACTTCTAACTGCAAAATGGGGTGTAATCTTCAACCGTACATGTTTATCTGAGAACCTCATACCAAATTATATATATATATATATATATATATATATATATATATATATATATATATATATACATATATATATATATATATAGGTTATTAGATATATATATATATAATGTGATAAAATATAAAACATAAATATGATATATATACATATACATATAGATATATATAAGTGTGTGTGTGTTGTGCGCGTGCGCTTGCGCGTGTAATAATTACGCTTTATAACGCTCTGACAAGTTATGAATTCCAACAATTCTGGCATTATGATTTCAAGTTTTTAAAAATATCATTTACAGTAAATATATTGAATAGCTGTTTAAAAACTGAGCCTTCAATAGATGACTTCATTTTTATAGCCTGAAAATTTTTTTAGTTTGATGAAAGTTTAGATAAAAAGAGCTGATCACAGTACTTGGTAACATTATAATAAATTCAGAAGATCGTTAACCATTGATTACATTATAATGTACTGGGGACATTAATATAATAATATTTAGGAACGAAAATGAATGCAATTGTGGATAAAGTGACAAAAAGTAGTCCTGGAATAGTTCTGTTCACGGAAGAATCAATTAAAAAAATTAAGCAAAAGATTGAGAACGAAAAAAATGAAACTGCGGTAACAAACAAATTGACGTCTACAGATAAAATGAGGAAAAAAATGAAACTCGTTGGAGAATTGCAAAAGAAACCAAACCCGGCTTTGTTACCGGGAAAAAAATTTCCCGAAAAGCTCGGTGAATTTCCGAAACAGTTTTATGGAAAACCGATTGAAGATATTGACGATTTTTTTAAAAACAAATATGTAAGTAAATTGAATTTTTTGAAAGTGAATGATTATCTAGATAAAATTACATGAAGTTCATTTCAGACGTTCATGGTGGTTTCAAAAGATGGGACAATGTTTAGATTCAGTGCTACGAATGCGTTTTTCTTATTTTCACCTTTTACGATACTGAGAAGAGGCGCTATTTATTTGTTGACTCATCCATATCCTTTTATTTGAATCAGTGTTTGTGATTTATATTTATAACGCGTTTGACTTCATTTTATATTTTTTACATTTTCAGTAATCAGTATCATGGCGATTTTATGATAACATAACATTAATTGAATGGAAATTTAAATTAGTTGGTTCGAAATTCTTTACAATTCAAAAATCAAAAAACGTCAAAACTTAACATTTAATTAAACATTTTTCAATTTAATTATTATGAGCGTAATTTTAGTGAACTGCGCCTTCATGATGTTGAATCAGGAATTACCTAATGTCGAGTTGGTTTTACAACTTATTTCATATTATTAAACGACTAAAACAAGTTTTCAATTATGAAGAATTGTTTTCACCGTAATATACACCGTGGAGAGCATAAACAGAATGATTGCCAGAGGATTCATTTTAACGGACTTCACATACCTGAGGGATCCGTGGAACTGGCTCGATTTCATCGTCGTCTTGGCCGCTTACGTCGCGTGAGTTATTCCGTTTTACAAAATTTCACTTTTTGATTATTCGTAGTTCATGCAATAAAAACGCATCTGAAATTAAAATGATATTTCGTAGTAGTAAAAGTTTTGGAGAAATAATTTTATTTTGTATTATTATCTGATTCTTTTAATTGATTTTTTATAGCTGCTACTGTTTTAAATTTTTAAGAATCTTATGAATGATATTGAGAATTAATTTGATGTCTATTGTTAAAACTGTTTTTCAGATACTTTCCAACTGTGTCAAGCTTCAATTTAGGAACATTGCGAACTTTCAGAGTTTTTCGAGCTCTTAAAACGGTAGCGGTGGTGCCAGGTAGTTCTTAAAATATATTTTGCGTTATTACTTTGCCATGTTGTTTTTAATTTATGTGTATTATCTTTATTATTACTTGATCGATTTTATTATTTGTTTATTTTAAAATATTGCGGCAATTGAAATTGTTTGTAGAAATCTATGCATGTCATATGTGTGCTACACTGCTAAATATAACCTGCAGCTGTTAAAAATGTTTTATCTACTATAAAGAACATTCTACTTGCTGTTTTCCAGTGGTTAAAAACTACTTTACTGCAAAACCCTTAACTAGCACTTAACTAATTTGCCAATAGTTACTAACTACATCAGTTAATTAGGTACTTTCAAAACTTTTAAACGCATTATTTTTCGCGACAATATTTTTATAATTGTTTTTTTATTATCAACATTACTATTATTAACGTTTTAAATATTTTTTCTGTTTCTACTTGCGTTTTTTATTTGATAATTGCCGCCCGTTTGATTATTCAGTGGTTTTTCTCAAAAAAAAACAACAAAGTATCTTGGATGGGTATATGAAGAAACTGAAATATAAATTTTTACCTTAGTTGAAGATAAAATTTAACCATCTGACCTGGAAAAACACGATGAAAAATTAAAAATGAAGTAAATGATTATATTAAAACTGTTCAGAAAAGTTGTTTTCAACTACCTTCAACTAAAAAAGTTTAACAATTAAACCCAAATCACATGATTTTTGTGTTTTGATATATTTAAAACGATTATTTAACTATAGGACTAGCCAACCTATGTTCTACAATGTGCTTCTTGACCAATTCCAATGCTCGGATTTTTTAGTGCCAAAGGCATTAAACTTCAATTTTACACTTAAAAAAACTTGTTTCTTATAAGTTATCTTTCTAAAATACTCATCATTAATTGTTTAAATTTTTAGTTCGTTTTGGATTTAACAAAAGTTTCATCATTTATTTTAAAAGTAGCATCCAAAATTATTGTCTAAAATTTCAAAAACTTTTATGAAGGAGAGGCATGTTCAAGTTATATAAATTGCAACAATTTATGGCATATTAGTAAATGTTATTAGTAGTGTAGTGAGGGGCAGAAGACCCTCCACAATAGACATTTTTGATAGGGTTAAAGTAATGTTTAAATTTTACAATAAATTTTGGTTTATAATTACAGTGGCTTTTTAAAGACATCAAAGTTTTGTAACATTTGAGTAAAAAATACATGTTTGGATATAGAAATCATGAAAAAATTGTTGAATAAGCAAAAAATTGTCAACATTTTTTCTAAAAATTCCTAGCCCAATCCAAGAGAATTTATAGCTGGAAACCGAGTGTTATTGATACATGTTATTTATTAACTCTGTTTGACTTAGAAACAGCTAATAAAAAATTATTTGGTCACTATGGATTGATGATTTCATAAGATTTGTTTGATTAAATTTGTAGCAAGTTTATTACTCAAATGTACCATTCAGAAAATGTAATTTACATTCATATACAAACGTTGTTCATAGGTCTGAAACTTATTGTTGGAGCCCTAATGGAGGCTGTAATAAGACTACGAGATGTAATAATTTTAACACTTTTTATGTTGTCAATATTTTCTTTGATTGGATTGCAAATGTACCACGGAAAACTTCTTAAAAAGTGTGTGAAAGTTCCACACAAATCTTGGATTGAATACGCTTCTCCTGAACAAATTCATTCTTTTGAAATGGATAAAAGTGAGATGTAAACGTAATTTTTTAAGTATTAAAATGATGACACAAATTTGCTGATGGAATCACAATATTCTAAATTGTAGATATTATTTATTATCAGCACATTCATAGCACGTTGTCACAAATCTAATTATACGTAGAAGTATATAAATAAAGATAGAAAACTACGATGATTTAAACAGAATTTTCGCGATATGCTGAAACGCATTTTACTAGATCGAAAGTGATACTTATTTTTAATTTCGAAATCAATTTATTTGTAGGGAACTGGCTCAAAACCGCAAGTGGTGATTATGAAGTGTGCGACTCCGAAGACGGCTCTGGAAAACCGTACGTAGTCTTATGAATGTTTCAAGAAGTTATGCATGTGCAGTTTTTAAAAGTAAAAACTGCTCAAAAATCTGCATGTTCTAAAAGCGCTTTTAATTTCATAAGTCGAGATAACTATTTAAAAAATTAACAAATTGTCATAAAATATGCTTCCAATATCGAACGGGCACTCTTGGGTTATGTCTTGATCACAATTAGAAGTTTGATATATGTAGGGTTTAGCTCTATAGCTCTAAATAAAACGTTGTGTTAATAAAACGTTATAAAACGTTATATATATATATATATATATATATATATATATATATATATATATATATATATATATATATATATATATATATTGGTAATAGACCATAATTTTTACAATATTCTATAAATTCTACCGAATGTTTGGCGTTAATATGTTTGTAGTTCGTTTTTTCGATTTTTCTCACTAAAGTTTTTTGGTGAACGTTTAGTTTATTAAAATTCAAAATAAACTTATCAAAACAAACATATTAACGCCAAACATTCGGTAGAATTTATAGAATATTGTAAAAATATATATATATATATATACTTTTTTTCATTTAGTAAAACTACTAGGAGACCTGAAGTTTTCACTAGTTAGGTCACCTTAACAATCAATCAATCAATCTTCGTTTATAGTGTCCATCAGTTATGGGTCGGATTTTTTTTATTTCATTCATCAGTTTTTGTCTCCAAGCCGATCTATCTATTGCGTCTGTCTCCTTGAGACCATGTGCCTTCAAGTCCTAATGTATGGTCAGCGTCCAGAACTTTTTTTAGCGACCTCTTGGGCGGGTGCCAAACACCTGGTGCTTAGTAACGGAAATTATTGTATCGTTTTCGCTTTGCTTAACATGGCCAAACCATCGTAGGCGATGATGACGACATGCATCCTTCAACGTGCACAGTCCCGATCGGTTTAGGATCTCGGTTGCATGGATATGGTCTCTTAGATCAACGTGCTGCATCCAACGAATCATCCTCATGTCAGTTCGGTAAAGCAGCTGTTCGAGTTTGGTTGTCATCGGCCACGTCTCTGCACCATACATTAGAACAAAACCTATAGCTGTGTTGTATAGTCCTGAGCGTAGCGGTAGAGAAATGCTACGCCACATCATTACCGAGGCAAGGAGATGCCATCTGCCCTAAGCCGCACGTATACGTCCACGAACGGCGGCATCAGCTGTTCCAGTACAATCCAGTATATCTTCCAAATACTGAAATGAAGTAACAGTTTTGATCCCGGTAATCGTATCATTATCCGGGCTCCGTTGTCGCGGGTTGATGCAGGCGGGGAATACAAAATCAGTCACTTTCCTCGGTGAGCTGGTAATACTCGAGCATCGTCTGTGACACCACTGCTGACATCGTTGGCATTTGATCGAGTTGCTTTCAACTTCAGTCCCACACATCTAACATGGCCAATGACCAGAGACCACAGGCTGAGCGGAACCACCGGTGATCATAGTTTTTGTTAAGGTTTATCTTTAGCCCGTGTTTGGCAAGCTGGGTATTTCAGACCTCAAACTTTCTGGCTGCGTCTGGTTCTGAGGCCACCGTCAGAACGATATCATCTGCATATATCACTCCCATATGTTATCTTAGCGTATCGGTTTGGTTATTTCTTCCATCACCGTGAGGAAGAGCAGGGGCTGAATATTGATCCCTGATGGACGCCGATGTTAATATCAAATTCATTCGTGTTACCGGCTGTTGTGCTGGCTAGAGTTTTTGTGTTAGAGTACGTTGCCATAACCAGCCAAACCAGATATTTTGGAACAAGCTGTCTACGTACACTCCACTTGATTGCCTCACGAGACACTCTGTCAAAAGTCTTTTCCAAGTCCACAAAAACATGGAACACTCGCTTTCTTTTTGCCATTTATTTTTCCTGTAGTTGACAAATGACATAGATAGCATCAACGATGGATATCCCTGCTATGAAGCCGCACTGGCAACCACCTATTGAAACGCACGACAACAGTCTTCTCTCAATGACTATTTCAATAACTTACAGGGGATGTTCTAGAAAATGTATACTCCGATATAAACAGCATTTCAGTAAATCTCCTTTTCCTTTTTATATCGGCGCAGTTGTGCTAATGTTCCATTCCACTGATAGTATCGATTTATACCACATCTCCCGACAGATGTGTAACAGGGCTCTGAAGCATGCCCCACCAGGTGCTTTGATGATATCATTTGTAAGTCCAGACGGACCAGCCGCTTTACCAGACTTCATTGCCTTTAACGCATCAGTGAGCTCCTCAGCTGTAATGCCCTGAATCGGTACTTTCATCGGAAGTGCATCAAAGTCTATCCCAATAGGGTTTGTTTTATTCAATAACTGATTGAAGTAATTCTTTCAGTGATACTTCACATCATTCGGCAAGGTTATTATTGTGCCTTTATTATTCTTTATGCATGTGGCACCAACTATATCCTTTTTCAGTTTTTTGGCCTAATTTGCTATTCGGTAGAGTGACCAAATTTTTTTGTCTTTACTTCCGCCAGCCATACCTTGCATTGATTTGTACGAGCTATCGCAACGTGACATTTCGCTTCTGTGTTCTTTGATCGATATGTCTTTCGACCTTTATCAGTCTTCGTCTTCTGCCATTGTTTGAAAGCTGCTTTTTTACTGGCAAGAGCATTTTGTACCGTCTCGTTCCACCACCAAGTTTTGGTTCAGATTTTCCACATACAGCTGTTGCAGCGTTCACTAGGGTGTCCTGAAAATATTTCCAGGTTATGTCTATCTTTTCCAGACGATTCAGCTGTGCTGATACTAACTCCTCGAATTTTTCCCTGAACATGGGGTTTTTCAGTTTCCATGTCTTTATTCTAGTAAGCATTCAATTAGTCACATGGCGTGATCGTTCCATGATCATATCGGCCATCAGCAATCGATGTTGAGAGATGCATGCTTCGCCTGGAATGACTTTTGTATTCCTAAATAGTTGTCTGTGTTGTTGTATGACAACAATAAAGTCAATCTGTGTGAATGACATCCCGCTTTTATATGTGATCAAATGTTTTGCCCTCTTCTTGAAATAAGTGTTCAACAAGGAGAGTTCATGGCTTTCAGCGAATTCCAAAATCCGTATACCGTCTTTGTTTTGAGACCCGTAGCCAAAGCCTCCATGGACACCGTAGAACCCATTTGTTTTTTCTCCAACATGGCCGAAGAGGTCGCAACATATCAATGGATTTCTGATAATGGTGTTTTCCTGACGGCATCTGAGAGTGTGTTCCAGAAATCATTTTTGGCGTCTTCAGATTCAACGGTCTTTGGTGCATATGCAGTCTGCACTTGTTTTTCTATTCTGAATTTAACCAGCATTAGGCGTGTGCTGATTCAAACTACCTCCAGTACATTTTGGGCCAGTAATTCCCGTATGAAGATTTCCACTCTAATTTGGGCTGTTTTTTGGTCATTCCAAAACAACTTGTAACTCCCAATAAGAGAAACACCATTTGATTTCCATTTTGTTTTCTGCAGAGAACAGATGTCAACTATTTGCTTTTCCAGCATGTCGACGATCTCCATGGAGCGACCATTAAGCGATCCAGTATTTAAAGTGGCAAGTCTGATATTCTAGGAGGGGACGCCCGATATTGTCACCCTTTGACCATTTAAGGTTTTCCAGGGGAATAGGGGACCTTTTCTTGTTCTGTTTGGGTCAACAAATTTTTATATCTGGAATTGCCCAATTCCTAACGACAACTACCAGTTATAAGCAGTGGGCCTAGCTTTTTTGCTGAATGCACACAAGGCAATGCGGTTGCAGTTTATTTCGTGCGCAAAAAAGCACTGTTGTAGTGCAAGCAGCGCACCTAGCCTTTGGGTCAAAGGTCCCTGTTTCACAACGCAGTGGATTTAGAATTGAGGATCATCCGGTGTTGAAGCCGTTGTCCTAAGATCCTCCGTCTCTTTCCTCGATGTCTTCTTTCTTCTGGTACAGTTAGTTCGCGGCACCTTATTCCGTATTATTCGATGCAATCCTAGAAGATTTCCCTGCCCAGGACTTTCTCCTACCCACCACCTGGGACGCGCCTCATAGCCAGTGCACCTCAGCATGAAGTTAGGCCACCTTAACAAACCGAAAAAAATTGTTCTCAAATATTTATATTTATATATATATATACACACACACAAACACACACATATACATACACATTTATACATACATATAATGCTGACTTCTGATAAACAGAAATATAAAAAATAGTATGACAATATATATATATATATATATTATTAAAAAAAATTTAGATAGCGCTAATTAAAACTAATAAACCATAGCAATACAGAAAACAAAATTGTTACTTTACAAAAACTAAATATATACAAGCATAAACATATTCAAGCGGAAAGTAAAATTTTTTTTAATTCTTTTTTGAACAAAGAAAGACAAATTCTAGGTCTTCTCATTAATGCCGGTAGGCTGTTCCAGATGGTTGGACCAGCAACCGCAATATCTCTCGAAGCAAACCTCAATCGTCTTACCGGAACTACCAGCAAATTCATATTATTCGACCATAGATGCAAACTTGGAGCAGGCTTTTTTTAAATTTGTCTGAAATATATTTTGATGAAAACCCATTAAACGATCTGTATACAATTACCGAGATCTTGAAAATAATTCTTTTCTCAACCTCCAGCCAGTGCAGTTCATGCAAAATTGGCGTCACACGGTCAAATGTAAATTTACCGGCTACTATTCTAAACTGACTGAAGAATCGCAATTGACCTTGCAAGCAGACCATAAAACAAACTATTTCAGTAATCCAGCCGTGTTGATGTGAAAGCATGGACTAAATCCTCCATTGATGGCTTGTCTAACAAATATCTAACTCGATATGAATTTTTTAGGTGCGTAATGCAAGAGACAGTTATCATTTTAATGTAGTCCTTCATGGACAGTTTGCCATCAAGAAGAACCCCAAGATTGGAAGCTGTTGTACTAAAGGATATATTGACATCTCCTATTTTGACGGCATTAATGCTCATCTTTATCAAGTGCTGCCATGTTCCAACTGGAAGCAATTGCGTCTTGCATTGGTTTAACTTTAATGAGTTATTTGACATCCAATGACTTAAAAATGATTAACGATAAACCGTCACAAAAATCGATAAGTTAAATTTGAAGTTAACTAACACCGAACATGCTGTGAGTTTCATCAATAATTGCATTTCTGATAGTCTTGATCAAATTTATATCAATTTATAACGCTTCCTATGCATAGCTTCAGGGGCGCTTGGATAAACAATGACATTTGAGGTTTCCGTAGGTCTGGATAAACAAAAAGTTCTTTAATCGTTTCCTAAAAAGTTTTATAGTTCGTTGTTGACGAATGATGGCAGGTTAACCATTCCATATGGAAGGACAGTTGTATGTAAAACATTTGTCGTTAACTGATGAATTGCTGAAAAGCTGATGCAACTGAATATATAAAGACGAACGAAGTTGACGAGTTGATGATTGACGAGATATAAATTGATGAAGATATGATAGTTGAAATGTATTAAGTAACTTGTAAGTAAGGACGGTGAGTTTAAATATAGTGCGTCGACGTACTAGTAACCAATGTAGTTGAATGAGTGAATCTGTGCTGGAAGATAAATTACTTATTATTAGAACAACTTTTGCAATTCTATTGAGTTTTTTAAAATTAAAGTTAAAAGGTAGAAAGAAAGACCATAGAGAAGAGAATTATATAACCTAAACGTGATAGTACGAGACATTGAGCCAGTGCAGAAGCAATATCTTCATTGAGAAAACTACGAATATGGCAAATAGTGCACGTATATTAGTTACAAGATTTGATGAAAGCTAAGACATGAAAATTAAAAGATAGAAAAGAGTCAATAGTAAAGCCTAAAATGTAAGTTCAGAGATTGAGGAGAGAAAAAAATAAACCAAAAAACGTGTGATGGGGGGAACATTTGATAAGCTGTTGCGAAGTACCAAAAAACATTACTTCAGATTTGTGGGGATTTAACTGAAAAAAGTTTAATAAATGCCAATCGTTTATGACCATATTACATGCATTTAAGTTGTCAAGCTGAGATATATGATTAGAAGTGGGAATTTTAGCTATTAAACATGTGTCATTAGCGTATTGATGAAAGAGTAGGCCAAAAGTGTTAATGATATTAGAAATACGAGAAGTGTAAGTAATGAAAAAAATGGGACCAAGGACAAAAATTTTGGGAACTCCAGTAGATAAGGTGAAGCTAGAAGAAAAGTGGGAGCCAAGCTTAATATAATGAGAACGATTAGAAAAATAAAATTGAAGCCAGGATTAGGCAGATACCGTGATGCCATATTCTGCCTCAAGTCTGTCAATAATCAACTGACGATTAATGGTATCAAAAGCTGCTGAAAGATCCAGACTGACCATGACAGCACAATTTTGATTTCCACATATGTCAGCAAGTTGGTCGTGAACATAAAAGAGGGCTGTTTCTGTAGAATAACATTTTCTGTAAGTGGATTGAAAGGGAGAGAAATTAGAAGATTAAGTAATATGAGTGAGAATCCTGTTCAAGACAATGCGTTCAAGTAATTTAGAGAAGGTTGAAATGTTGGAAATAGGACGGTAATTAAAAGGATCAGATGAATCAAGGTTAGATTTTTCAGTGAAGGTAGAATTTGAGCTATTTTAAAAAAAGTTGGAAAATGTTGTTTTCTAGGGAAAGATTGCAAAGCTTAGAAAGTAACGGAGCAAAAAATGGGAAAATTTTTTAAGAATATAAACTGGAAAAATGTCAAGTGGTGAGGTTTTGTTGGGCAAAGATTTGATGAGCTCTAGAATTTTTTTTCCTGAGTTGACAGCTGAAAAAGAAGAAAAAAAAGAGGAAGAAAAAGGTCTATAGTTTGAAGAAGGAATGTTAGAAGAAGCAACTGTTGTAGCAATAGATTGATGAATAGAATTTATTTTGTCCTTGAAAACATTAGCAAAAAAAGATACAAAGGTAAGAGATTCAGCATCAGAAAAATGATGATCTAAGCGTCTGTAGAAAATGTTATTTAGAGAATGCCAGAGATCATGAGAGTTGCTGCAATTATTAAGGGTGTTCTAATGGAATCGATCCTAGACTTCTTAATGGCATCTCGAGAAACACGTTTAGCAATTTTGTGTTTAACGAAGTTATGCGCTGATTTTTCATATTTGTAGTGACGCTCCATAAGACGACAATTTCTTTTAGCAGCTATTCTTCTTGGGATAAAGAACAACGAGGGTTGGAGCTTTTTCGAAACAAATGATGCTTGGCTGGGGCATGTTTGTTGACGATGTCATTTAAAGTTGAGTTTAGAGCTGATGCAAACTCATCAATCTCCAAATCTTGTGAAAGCAAACCATCAAATGCTCTGTTTAAATCATTTTCGAATGACGTATAATTTAAACGACAAAAGCTGCGACGGCAGTTGTGGATGATTGTCGACGGTGGTTTAGAAGAGCGTTGAGTTGAATAACGCAATCATTGACGGTTATATATATATACATATATATATATATATATATATATATATATATATTTTGTAGGTGATTTTAATATAAATTTAATGAATAACGATCGCAATAATAATAACATTGACTTTATTAACTTAATGTATTCGTTTAATTTTTATTCTTTAATCAATATACCTACCCGTGTCACTGCTTCTACTGCATCGCTGATTGATATTATTTTTACTAACAATCTTTCTCCTCATAAATCTGGCGTTATCAGTTCTTCTCTGTCTGACCACTTTCCTATTTTTACTTCTTTCAATCTTAATACTCCTTTATCAACTTCTAATTTATTTAATCATTCGTTTAATTTTTGTAATAATAACATTCGTAATTTAAATATGTTTTTTAACAATTTCGATTGGAATCCTCTGCTTTGATATAGATGCGGCATTTTCACTTTTTATAAATGTTTTTAAACGTGCTGTTTTGCAATATTGTAGTTCATCTAATTCACCGCACAAAAATAAAAAACAGCCATGGATTACGAATGGTTTAATGATATTTTCAAAAACTAAAAACCATTTGTATAATAGGTTTCTAAAATCAAAGGCATTATCTGATCGTTTAAGGTATATTAAATATAAAAATTTATTTTTAAAACTTTGCAAAATTTCAGAGAACCTGCATTATTATTATCTATTTAATAAAGTAATGAAAAATGATAAAAAAACTTGGAGTTTTTTTACTAGGATCGTTTAAGCAGTCTGTTCATCATTTAATCTTGGAAAATTATTTTTCATCATTTAATTGAAACTGCTCTAGTCAAAGTGTTTATTGTATTTTGATATTTTGTTTATTAGAAGTTATTTTACTTTTCTTTTCTCACAAGGTGGCCTAACAAGTGAAAACTTCTGGTCTCCTAGTAATTTATTATTGTGATATTTTGCTGAATAAAAGAATGTTTCAATTCAATTCAATTCAATATATATATATATATATATATATATATATATATATATACCCTCGGAATAAGTAGGTACCTACTGGAAATTCAATTATTACATCAAGATCGGTAATAATAACGACGCCCATTAAGAGTTCGAGATTATTTGGTTTTTTCACCCTTTTTTCACCATGGTAATGCCCATTCAATTCGCATGAACATTGCGGCAATTGAACATTTGCAATTAGTTTATTATTATGATGCAAATGAAGTGTTATGTCAATTATTTCATTTAATTTTTTCATTTAAGTTAATGAAACTAGTCTAATAACCAAAAATTTTTTGTTTCCAATTCGTTACAAAGTAAGCCAGTCATCTAATATAATAAAATAAACACGATGAACTCAAGAATGGCTGAACCAATTTTTTTATTTTTTCTTTATTTTTTTCTTCACCGATACCGATAACATTTAGGACATTCACAAATTTAAAAATTTTGAAAAATTTTAAACTTTCAATACCTTTACATTTTCGGTATTTTCATTCTATCAATAACGTTCAAGTTATTGGGAGTCAACAAAACGTATCGAACGCCTACGTCTTTGTACTGAAATTTTTGTAATTTAAAATTAAAAATTGTTAATATATAGCTAAATTTAAAATTAAAAAAAAAATCTCTAAATATAACTTCCTTTACAATTTACGCAAACATTAAAAAACTTATTAACCTTTGAAATATTAAGCATGAAGCAGCAACGATTTTTAATTGTTCGCTCATTGTTTTTCATTCTCCGATGTTCTACTGAACGTAAACAGAACATGAATCTAAAAAATTTTTATCGATATGTCGTTTATAGGTACAGTATCAAAAGTATGACTGTACCGAATTCAACTTGATTTTCAAACACAAATCTGGCAGATTTTTTCTGACGATTTGGATTATTATTATAAAAATTGAACACATTGTAACAATAAATAATATTCTTTTTTTGAAAATTTTTGTCAAATATATAATAATTGACGCTCGTCATCATACTTACTTGGTAGGTGCCCACAAGGTTACAAATGTGAAGAGGTCGGGGAAAATCCGAATTACGGATATACAAATTTTGATAACTTTTATTACGCGTTCCTCTGCTCATTTAGGCTGATGACTTTGGATTCTTGGGAGAGCTTGTACCAATTAGTTAGTTTAATTTTAATGATTAGTTATTCAAAATAATGTTATTACTATTATTATTAATTTAATATTAATTAAACTAATATTTAAATAGTTTAAGGTCTATTATACTCTTCCTAGGTTCAGAGAAATCAACAACACACAAACATTATATATGAATAAATGCTGAACGACGCACCACACGTGAAGCAAATAATAGGCGGGGATCTTTTTGTCATATTCGAACCCGGTCACTGCGAAACAGCACCAGGTGACCTAAACTACTAGGCCATCACCCCGCCTTTAACACAAACAAAACAGTAAATTTCTCTGCCTATCATAACCATTCTGCGTTTGTGGAAAGCTAACATTAAGTAATTTCGCACTACATAAAAGGCGCTGTATGAATGACATACTGTTGTCATTTTTCCTTCCATTATTATTAGCGTGTTTGTAATCGCCCTTTAAAAAGATCTCAGAGACGATAACGATTATTGCAGTACATTGCGTAGCACTTTACTACAGATATAAATGGAAAGAAAAAGACATTAGCATTAGACATATTACTATCAAAAACAAATCTCAGGTTGCATGGAGATGTACAAAATTCAATGTCAGAATCACCAAGTTCGATAGACCCAATGTTCATTTTTCCTATTGTTGCCTAGTGCCAACCGGTAAAACTGATTTTTGATTAATTCAATTTTAGCCTATTTGCCATCATCCACTTAATAATTTCCAAGAGACATGATCTGAGTCTACAGACCTGATCATAAAAACGACAAAAGAAGGCAATAGCAATGACCTGAATATCATCGGAGAAACCGTGATGTTTGAACTTTTATCTGTCAAAGATTTTTAAAACATCTGTAGTGTACGACACAAACAGGAGGGAGCCGAGAATTGACTTCTGTGGAACACCGTATGCCACAGTTTCAACATGTGTCAATTAGATCTGCACAGATTCTGTTGTGTACGACCAGAAAGATATGACTCATTCCATTGAAGAACAACACCAGATGCTCCAAATGAACCCTAGAGATTGCTTAAAAGTAATTAGTGATCGACACAATCAAAGGCAGAGCTCATATTTTAAAGAGCAAGCAACGACACATTCTGAGCATTTGTGAAGGAATACTAATTAGAACTATATACATGTAACATGTAACGCATAATCAGCATTGAACTTTTTGAAACGCGTTATTTTTGAAACCATATAAAAAAGTGTAAAACTTATTTTAACAAATTATTTTTATAATAAAATGCTTATGACCATTTTCTTTATTATTTTTGTTTAAAAAAATTGTTCAAAAATTAGAATTTCAAAAATAACACGTTTGGAACACATATCGCCGATCTGGGAATTAATCCAACAAGCCAATAAAAACAGACAAAGTTTTTTCACGTCGTCTGGTTAGATCTAGCACATGCTTATGGCGTTATACCTCACAATCTACTATGGAAGTCGTTTCTGATATTTCGTGTTCCTCGTAAAATTATCGACATTTCGAAGAATGATTTCAACGGTTTCAGGATGCAATTTACCACAAATGATTTCACTACAGATTGGATTGATCTGAGAGTAGGAATCGCTATTGGCTGCTCTATTTCACCAACCCTGTTTGTTTTGGTAATGTATGTCATGCTGGATGCTGCAAGCGGGTACAAGGTTAAATTCGGTGGAGACGATTGTATGCCATCGTTGAAGGCATTTATGGATGACACTACTGTGTTGAAAAATTCAGTCCGAAACCGTAGAAAAATTTTGCAGACGCTAGATGAGTTGATGGATTGGAGCGAAATGCAGTTCAAGCCGGAAAAATCTTGAAGCCTCTCGCTGACAAAAGGTAAACATGATAAACATGTCTTAAAATTTCCGGTCAGATGCCAAATCTTCAAAAGTTATTAAAAAGCTTGGGCAGATGGTTTCACTAATTTTTAAAGAATTTGGAAGAAAATAAAGAACTGCTGAATTTGTCTGAGCAGTACATGGAGATTGCGGACAGCCAAGATTTTGAGACCTGACATGGTGGTGGCATCTGAGAATACAACTTCAGTTATGGTTATTGAACTAATTGTGTCGTACGAAGATAGTATGCTCAATAGCCACAATTTTAAAACTGCTAAGTATTAACAGCTGATTCAAGACAAAAAACGATATAGAACCAGATTTTATGCTGTTGCGGCTGGTGCAAGAGGAACTGTAAGAGCATTAATGTATATATATACACTTTTCAAAGAGTTAGGATTTTTAAACAGGAAGCCTAGAGCATGTGTGAAGAAGGTTATTAGTAGTGCAGAGCAAGCTTCATATTGGTCTACTGATCGCTACAGTGATACGACTTTATATGTAAGTATAAAATTGAATTTTGAGTATGAATAGCAGATTAACACCGCTGAAAATCAACAACCATCGAAAAGAGTTCGAGTGATCAACGAACGTGGCCTGCTCCTCCAAAAATGTAAGGAGGTTGTTGAGGGCCAAAAAATTTGTCGACGGAGACTTCTCCTCTGAGGACTTCTCGATGATTTAGCTCAATTGAGTTTTCACATACATACATACATACATACATACATACATGTATCCATACTTATATGGAATACATACATCGTCGCGTTCGACGAATTGTGTCATTGATGAGTCCTTTGATGCGAGAACAAGCCTATTCTTGATGAACATCGATGACCACAGGATCCGCAAACCCACACCCCTGTGCTGTTACCATCCCGGGCCACCTGCTTACGCCGTCCTCTTTTTCCAACTAGAGCTGCAATGCGCGTTTCCTCAAAGGCGGAAACTGCTGCTTGTGAGCGTGTCTTCCACTGTGAACGCTCGAGCGCAACGACACCCAAGGTTTTAGAATCCAGTCCGTTTTTTTTTTAGGTTTTCCTTCAGATTATCTTTAAATTTGCGAACTGGACCGCTTGCAAGGCGAACTCCAGAAGCCAGCTGTCCGAAAAACACCTGTTTGGAAATTCTTGTGTCCGGCATGCGGATAACGTCTCCCGCCCAACGAAACTGTGCCTGTAACAAAAATGCCTCGATACCCAAGATACCACACATTTCCAATACAGTCGTATTTGGCACCTTATCCTCCCATTTAACGTTAGCGATAACCCGTAGACATCTCATATGAAACTGATCGAGTCTACGTATATGGCGCCTATAAGTAATCCATGTCTCACATCCATACAGCATTGTGGTTAACACAACTGCCTTATAGACAGATATTTTAGTAGCCAGCGACACACCCCGTTCCTTCCAGAGTTGTCCACTCAAACCACCAAAAGCAGCACCAGCCTTGGCAATCATAACCGTAATTTCATCATCGATTGCAGTAGTGTTGGAGAAGTAGCTACCAAGGTAGCAAAATCGATCCACAGCGTTCAACTGCGAGCCGCCAATAGTTACGATGGCTTTAGAATCCGACGAAATAGGATAGCTTTGGTGCAGAACCTCTGTTTTCTTCCTGCTCACCGTGAGTCCAAACCTTTCTGCAGTAGTGTGGAAACAGTTGAACAGAGCCTGAACTTCACTTTGTGTATGTGCAACCAAAGCGCAGTCATCCGCAAAGAGTAGGTCGCGGACTATTGTGGTTTGTGTTTTTGACTTCGCTTGTAGGCGTCTGATGTTGAAAACGTCTCCATCCATGCGATAGCAGATTGGAATGTCCTTTACACAATGTTGAAAGGCGACTCGAAGCATTAGGGAGAAGTAAATGTTGAACAGCAAGGGAGTCATGACACACCCCTGCTTGGTACCATTTGTCACCTCAAAGTCCGGGGATCGATCACCATTTTCAACTACGGTTGCCCTCATGCCTTCATGGAAGGAGCGAATAATCGACACTAAAATCGGAGGACAACCGATCTTTTTCAGACATTTCCATAACGCTGAACGGTTGACGGAATCGAACGCCTTTGTTAAATCTATGAAGACGAAGAAAAGTTCGCGTTGTTGCTCACGACATTTTTCTTAAAGTTGTCTGGCAGTAAAAATCATATCAATAGTACCACGACCAGCCCGAAAGCCACACTGACCCTCTGGAAGGATACCAACATCATTGACGTACTTGGTTAGGCGGTTGACGATCACGCGGGCCAATATTTTTCCAGGAATCGATAGCAGAGAAATACCTCTGTGATCATCACAGCATGAACGATTCCCTTTCCGTTTGAATATGTGAATGATAAGGGCATTCTTAAAATCTTGAGGAACCGATTTCCTATCCTACATGTCTTGGAACATTGTCACCATCCTGGTTTTAAGTTCGATGACACAACATTTGAAGAGTTCTGCCGGCAGCCCGTCCAAACCCGGAGCTTTTTCATTCGACATTTGGGTGATTGCTTTTTCCACTTCAGACAGGCTAGGGGGATCATCGAGATCACCTGCAATGCTCCAGTCAGGCAACTCAGCAAGGACTGAGTCATCAAACCGGGATTCTTGATTTAGCACACTGTTGAATTGTTCAGCCCAACGAGCCAGGATTCCATGGCCATCATTGATCATGATGAGTGTTTGACCATCTTTAGACAGTACCGGGACACTACCGGAGCTGCGGGGACCAAACACAGTTTTCAGATTTCTGTAAAATGATTTCATGTCCCCGCGGCCGGCCGCTATTTGCAATTCATCAGCTCTGGCAGACCACCAAGATTCCTTCATCTGACGAAGCCTCCTCTGTGCAAAACTGCGTGCTTGCGTGTAGCATGCTTTCTTGACGCAGTTGTCCCTGTCATCTATCCAAGAAAGATGGGTGTTTTGCATGTTGTGCATGTTGTCCAGCAGCCCACGTGCCTCCGTATCCTGATCGTCAAACCAGTCCCTATGCTTAATACGCTGATATCCAAGCACATTAACCGCAGCTTTCTCCACAATCTGCTTGAAATTTGACCATTCTGTGCTCTCATTTGTTGAAAACTCACCACACAGTGCTTCGCGGAACAAATTTCTAGCTGACGGTTCTGTTAGCCGAGTCACATCCAGTTTGGCTTTCCTTACAGTTTTGTGATGCCTTCTGACTGGTTTAACAGTAAGAAACACCGACATCTTGATGAGGTGATGATCTGACCACATTGTTGATGCTCGCACCGTTTTAGTTATACGAGCGAGACGAAGATCGCGTTGTCTGATAAATATGTAGTCGATGAGATGCTAGTGTCCTGAACGTGGATGTTTCCAGCTAGTCTTCTTCCTGTCAGCCTGTTGGAAGAATTTGTCACCACAAGATTGTGCTCTGTACAAAATTCGAGGAGCATGGTTCCATTTGAATTTTCCCTACCAACTCCATTTTGTACAAGCACTTTTGGCCACAAGATGTGGTCTTTACCCACACGGAAGTTAAAATCACCCAAGACAAACAACTGATGGTTGTGTGGTGTTGAACGAACAGCGTCACTGAGCTGCTCATAAAACAAGCTCTTCTCCTCAAAAGTTGCTCCAAGCGTTGGCGCATAGCAGCCGACAAAGGTAGCAGTGTGACCACCCTCCAGGTTGAGCTGCATCCTCATTAGGCGTGGTGAAATACCATAAGGTACCTCATGTACAGATTTCAGGAGTGTGCTACGACTGGCAAAGCTCACTCCACCAGTACGCACCTCACCTGCAGGATGACCTTGGCAATAGGAGGTGTAACCAGCACCTCTCTCCTCAAACTGTGTTGCTGCAGAGATTCTTGTCTCGCTGAGCGCAGCAAAATCGATGTCATAACGCGCAAGTTCACGCGCAACAATGGCAGATCGACGTTCATGACACTTCCCAAAATCCAACATTGTCCGGACGTTCCATGAAGCCAAATTAAAAATTTTTCTTTTCTTTTGACCGCATAGTAGGATACCCAGTCAGCCACGGTAGGCTGACAAGGTCGGCAACATATTGCCTAGCTTTTTTAGGACAGATTTTTTAGTCCCCTCTCCGGTTGGAGAAAGCAGTGCATCCCTGAATAGGGCTGCTTTGTCACCCTGGCAGGATACGAAAATTGCTATAGCCATCAGCAACAAACGACCATCACACCAAGGCCGCCTGTGTGTTGTGTTGTGACTAGACACTGCCAGTAGTACCCTCTACCTGTGCCCGTCACCACTCGCCAATCGCAGCAGGACTTTGTTTGCACATCCATTCAAGCATCAGACCACCAAGACCACCTTCACACTGGTTGATTTAAGTGGAGCATGTTTGTGCGGCATGTTACACTCTCTCCTCCACAGGGGTTGGTATCAGCAGGCACAACAAGTTGAGACACGCCGAGCGACCAGGGTGGACGCAGAAGTTTGGATAAAACTGCGGTGCAGTTTTATCCTCGTAGCCAACTATCCTGGCTAGATTTTTAATTGGGTTTACTCCCAGGCCTTTCCCAAGCGTGGGTATAGCCGCAAGGCTGCGGAGGTATGAAATCAGAGTTTTCCTTCTCCTAGATGGTATTTCCTTACGAGCGCCAACCACCCGGAATCTGGTTTAGGCGCCAGTAACTCGCCTTCGCCCTCTCCTGTTAGTTAGTAGCAGCCCCCGCCACGTGCAGGAAGAAGTAGGACTTCGATGGTCGTAGCGCGCACGCTACAAGCCTTTGGTGGCATTTTGTAGAACTGGGGAGTTCAGCCCCCAGATCACCACCGGCAAACCATCGCGTTTGGGGGCCATCCATACCTACATACATACTAACACTTTAAAAACAGATGGAATTTAAGTCGGATGCATATTGGTTGAAAGATTTTAGTCATTGAGAGTAGTAAGAGTAATATGTGTGTATGTGTGGTGTGTGTGTGTATTAAGTATGATTTCAAGACAAATAGAGTTTCAGACAAAGTGACTTGAACGAAATGATAATATGATGAAAAGAATGAAAAATGATGTTGACGCTGTTTCGATAAAAATTGCACATTATGAAAAATAACGTTATTTGTTGAAAATCTTTTAGGTCTTGAAATCTATGGGGGAGTATCACATGATATTCTTTATTTTTGTCGTTTTTCTCGGATCTTTTTATTTAATCAACTTGATCCTCGCCATCGTGGCAACTTCCTACGATGATTGCAGGAAGAGAGAAGAAAAAGAATCTGAAGAGTTGTTGGCAGCTGCATTGGTTGGTATCCATGAATTGTTGAGCGAATAAAATTACAATTATTAAATGAGTGTTGATTAAAAATTATTTCTACGAATGGCTATTAAGGTATTCGGAATTTTTCGGTCCGGAGTTTTCGGTCTCAGATTTCATTAAATAGGAATTTTCGATTCTGGAATTTTCGTTTGGGGTTTTTCATTCCCGGAATTTTCGGTCCCAGATTTCACTATATAGGAATTTTCGGTTCCGGAGTTTACGGTCAATTTAAAATTTATACGTAAACGTCAGTTTATTTATACTGCGCTATTTCCCTGACGTTCAACAGCGCTCAAACGTCGTGCCGAGGCATGCACTATTCACCGCATCACATACTCAAACTACATAACAAGCTTTGGAAAGTGGCATAGCGTGCATTCGAACCCGGATTCCACGCTCGTAACCACCACACCCGCAGCTCAAATCAAATTGATTCTGCCTGCACTCACTTAAGTGAAATAGTGATTGTTTTGCTTTGAACAATGAATTATTTGAGTAATGTTTGCATTGTATTCAAAAATTTTCAGGTGGTAATAGTAGTTCAAGATATCCTTGCATTTAGTTAGGGTTAGGGTTAGAGATATGTTACTGAAGGTTAGGTAAATATCTCTACGCCACGCATTTTATTAACCAAGTCCACTATTTTTTTATGCCAATAGATTTTTAAATTGCATTGTTGGCATGGATCTCCCCTTTGCTCTATTTTTTGTGTACTAAAAACATTAAGGACCGAAAATTTTGGAACCAAACTTTCAGGGACCGAAAATTTCTGTGTAGTGGAATCTGGGACCAAAAATTTCGAAACCGAAAACTCCCGGACCGAAAATTCCTAGATTCGGCTATTATACTTTTCACAACGACAAATATTTCTCAAAGATTGAACGGCAAGCTGAACAGTGTAAAAAAAATTTACTAACCAACACTAAGAACATTCAATATTTTCAGTTATTAGAAGTATTTTATTATTATTGAGCAGGCAGAAGAAGAAAGGCAGATAGCTCTTATCGAAGAAGCTATGCAAACAAGTCCGGCTCTTTCAAATGTCGACATCATATCACAAGTTGCAAATATTGAAAACAACAGAAGTAACAGTGGAAACAACGTAATTGAATCTGTAGGTGTCACATTTAAAGATATGTATTAAACCACATCATTATCACCATCATCTCTATTGTTTAAATTCGCTTTGTGATCGCAAGCAATATCATTTCATGTAATTTTCCACGCTTCATTTTCTGTCCAAAAAGGCCATCGAGGGATCCAAGTTAATTTCTTTCAGATGATTTTCATCGGGTTTCTTCATCTCAACTTCAGTCCTTACTTTTTTTTAGTTTCACGTTTATACACCACGCTTAATTCATACTATTTTCTTTCTAAAAATGTCAAAACTTTTTCAGTTCCATTCCGGAACACTCTTGAAAAGCACCCTATTCTTTTATTTTATTGCTTATTTTCTCTACTTATATCGTGCCATAAACATTTTCCAAAATTGGTCTCCCGACCCAAAGCAGTTTATCAAATATTTTGACAGGTAACTCACACATTTGTTTTTGTGTAAACTTTTATAACCTATTCAGGTGTGTTTTTAAGGCTTGCTGTTGTTTTTTTACTACTTTTTTTTCTACATGATGTTATTAGTCAAAATGTACTGTGCATTGAGTTTCGAAAAGTTATATTGCCCTTTCATGCATCTGGTACGATCAATGTGTTATTTATTCTCGAGTCAATAAATGATCTGCCCATAATTTTTTAAAGATTGCTGATACAATCAATTGAATTTAAAATTATTGCATGCAAACTAAACAAAAAACTACCCGTTTGTAAAGGTTTTTATCCAAAAAAATATTTGCCATCGTCTCTTCATAATAATTCATCCATATTTATTTATTTCTTGTTCTTTCAGTTGAAAATTTTGACAGCATTATAAAATGAAGTACACACAGAGTATAATTCTCTTTTGTATATAATTTTTCTTTAAATGATATTTTACTTCCATTTAGACGTAGTTTATATAAAAACATAGAAAAATTTCAAACTCTTTGTGCATAATGAAGTGCTTGCTCACCAAAAAAAGATATTATGCCAAAAAGTACCAAATAAAAAATTAAAGGTTCATTAAACTCTTCTAAAATTCACCAACACTTAACAGCGTATATAGATACGGCTAAACTCGCATCACCATAAAACATGTGATAGGTGGAGATCAATTTTGTATTCCTAGTCCTAACCCTTATACTGCAAGCATTGCGAAACAGGACGAGGTACCTTTAACCATTAGGCCATCATGCCGCCCAAACTTAAAAATGATATGTAGACGGCTTAAAAAAACTGTATGTTGAAGAACAAACATTATTTCAAAAAATTTTTTATGACATTTAAACCTTTTCTCAAGGCTAATCTATGTTTCCGACGTTCAGGGGTTTAACCATTATTTAGCTTTTGAAATCGTCCTTATTTCTTTAGTCAGATATGTAAATATGTTTTATATTATGAACTATTTTGCTCCCGCCATTTCGTGAATGTTTAAAACAAATTAATTTCAGGATGCGATTTCAAACTTTTCTGCTTCTCCGACGCTTTCACCTGTTTTCTCGAAGCACGATACTGCACAACAACTCTACCACATGATAAGCACAAAAGACAGGTTACAATAATTTTTATTTGAAATTTAATGGTTGTATCAATAAAGTTATTGATTTAGTTGTTTTATAAAATGTTCATGAATTTGTTAAATTAATTTTGACTTATTCATACAAAACTCTAAACGCAAATATCGCTCGTTACGATAAGAGTAAGAAGTGCACCGTGTTTACTTCCTATGAAACATAGTGGTATCACAACAAAATCAATATCCTGTCAAGCCGCTCAAAAAATTCCGACTCCGGGTAAAAATTTCCGACTCCGCCTCCGATTCAAGTTCAAGAAACAATTTTCAACTTTTGCATCATGATTTTACTTAAATATCACCTATAAATGAAAAACACTTAAAATAAATCAATGTGATTGCTTTTTTTTAATTATACTGAATGAAAATTTTCAAACATTATTACCATTTATTTACAGTATTAAAGATGATTTCATATTGATACAAATAAAAAAGTTTTTAGAATAACAATATAAAAAAGAGTTCAAATGTTAACACTTTCCGGAGTTGTATAAAAAAATTCTGACTCCTACAAAAATCTCCGACTCCGACCGACACTGCGATTCCGACACCCTGGCTACCACAAACTATCACGTCCACATTGGTACCTCACCACATAAGGTCTTTATCATTAGTGCCTTATCATTTCCAATTATTTATAAGATTTTTGTCATCGTTGTTCGTTTCATGAAGCTTCATTGAATTCAAAATACACATCGTAAATCTCATCGATGGCAATTTCAAATCCACATCAACAATGGTAGATTTCAATATAATTTTGAATGATTTTTCATGCAAACATTTTAATTTTCAGACATTTCGATCGAAACATGTTTAAAGGCATTGTTTAAAAATTTATGATAAACAAGAGGCAATAATAATAATTTTAAAATCGAAAAAGAGTGAAAAGTTATGAAAAAAAGTTTTCCATAGTAAAAAAAACAATTTTGTTGTTAATTTTACGTCTAAAGCAGAATGCAGAATTTGGAATTATCAAATTAAATGAAATTTTTTTATATTTGTTTTTCGTTTTTATATTTAACACAATTTTTATAAAGTTTGACAAAATTTATAAAAAAGAGCAAAATTTATTTTGTAAAATATAATGTAATTAAATTGTTTGAAAAATGTTTGAAAAAATTAAAATATTTTATTTGAGCTTTAGAACATTTGTTACAAAATTATTTTTTATGTTTCCAAATGGTTGGAATTATTACTTACAAATGTAAAAAATTTTGTTTCAAATTAAGTTAAGCACTAGACTTAATAAGTTGATATTAAAAGTTTGCTTGTTTGTTCTATGTAAAGAGATTTTAGTTTATTTTTTATAAATACTACAAATTTACTTTTCATATAGCGTATTTTAGTACTCTATAGCTGATGTTCTTTAATGAGATTTTGCACAATATTTTGCAAATATGGCTCTTATGACGTTAAGTAAATTTGTTTTATTTCAGACAAAAGAGACCATTCAGTAGTAGTTTTAAATTTCGAAAACAATTGGATAAACCAAAAACTTCAACGAACGGTAAAAAGCCAATTAATTAGAAACTTTTGAACTGATTAATTTTTTTCTATCAGAATCTACAAGAATCAGTGAAATCCCAGAAGTACAAATATCTAAAATAGATCAAAGTGAAGAAGATTTGTCGATCAAGGTTGCATTTAAAACTTGTGAATACCGTTCACTCATTTATATGATAATGCTCAATCAATCATTCATTTATTAATAATTGATTTAATTGATCGATGCTTTGTTATCGTTCAAGCGTTGAAGAGTCGAATGACTTGCACGATTAAAACTAATGTTGTCCATTGCTCCAAAATTACGCTAAAAATTTTCAAAACATAAATTTCACATACTCGAGTTTTTAGCAAATATTTAGAATATAAAATACAAATACATAAATGTTATCTGCCATGTTGCGACAAAAATGAAAATGTTAGTCTGTCCTGTTGTTTAAAAATAAAAAATTTGAAAAATTATCAATCGCGCTGTGATATAATTAAAAACATTTTATCAAAATATTAACCTTCTAGCTGACTTACTTGAAATGTAAAAATTAAATGATATTTTATTTACAAAAGGCTGTTTGATTTCAAATCGCCATTTTAAATTTAATCGAAAAAATTTACTTTATCCAAAATGATTCTAATAACATTTTACCAAAAAAGTTTCTTCAATTGCTTATATGATAGTGATATGAAAGAGAGAAAGAATACAAAAACATCAAAATTATAGTAATCAAATTTAATTTTCAAGAAAGAAACTGAACATAAAGAAGATATAATACCAAATTTATTAACAACAACTTCTTTCATGAGAAGACTGTCACGAGTTTCAAGTGTTGCAGATATTGAAAAAGAAGGTTTGTGTAATATAAAATGTGATATTTTATATATTGCAACGTAATACAACGGTTCTATATGCTGGTAGTCGTAAAAAGTTGTTTTATTCTTAGATTTTGAATTTTTTTTCACACATACACACGCACACACAAATTCAAAAAATCTTTTATTCTGCAAAATACATTACAGACCAGAATAACACCAAGAAATTTAATTGAGTGAACCCCATCAATGCTATTGTCATTTAATAAAATCTTAATATCCAAGAATCCAGCACGGATCTTGGGTCCAAATAAAATGAAATAAGTTTTACTAAAGTTAATTCTCAAACTATTTGATTGCACCCAATTGTAAACGTTAGTCAGTTTATCATTAAAAATAGAAACCAATTGTTTAATATTTGAGTGAGATAATAATAGAGCCGTCAGCGAAACGAATGAATTTTAAGAATGATTTTTCCTGTTTCTAAATTTATTGGTGGGAAGAATTCCAATTGCCTGTTGTTTAATATTTATTATCGGATGTTTTTTTATGAGTATTGATTCGGCTAGTCGTAAATTATAGTGGTTGTTATTGTAATATAAGATTTCACCATTGTAGTCCAGGATTTGTCTAGTAATTTTAGTTTTGTGTTTCTCTTTTATGTGATTCTTTATAGCGCCAGTTTGTACGTGCATCGTGAGTCTTCTCGATAACTTGGTCGTCGTCATACCAATATATTCGGAATTTTGGTGGCAAACTCATTATTGTTATACTTGAACAAATATATTAGGTGGCTATGATCAATTATCGATTCTGGTTTACTAGTGCAGTTGTTTTTCATCACAAGGAATGACGTTCTTTGGTTGGAGTATTATATTCGTAGTTTAATGCTAACGTTTTCGTTGTTTGCATAGACGTTATTTTTTATGATTCTTTTCATTGTTTTTTCATTCTGTTCAAAAGCGGTTGACATGTGATTGTTATAATATGCTACTATGTTATTTTTGTTACTATTTTTGGTTGCATTGTTGTTGTCACTATCTAACAGTTTGTGCCATGTTGCTGCACATTGACGAATGTAATTGTTTCTAGGGTTTTGTTTACAATCTCGTCGTAGATGTCCTTTTTCTTCGCAATACCAGCATTTTGGCGCACCATAATTTTGACACTTCTGTTATAGAGCCATCCTTTGACACAAACATTTTTCAAAAATTTGGCAGAGTTTTACGTCAGTCTTTGATGCTTGCTTCGCTAACTCGAATGTAAGGCTGTAGGCAACGGCGTCTTTGAGGTTGTAGTTGTCCGCTAGTATGAAGGTTTGTCTGAAATCTGAATTGCTAACAGTGTTTACAAGCGTTTCCAATGTAGTTTTTTTCTGTGTTGTGGGTCGTACGTAGGGTATGACAGCAAAGTTAACAGTTGTTGTATTAACTCTCCATGTCGCTGCATCCGGTTTTGTAACCAGGACTGATACATTTGTTTCATGTGCTCTTTACCGTAACGTAAATTCAACGCAATAACCAGGATTTTATAGTTGAAATGGTTCTCGACTGGAATCGTTTGGAGAACTTCTGCCGCTGACCCTCGTAACGTTACCTCAAGAACTGTTGCCCGCTCTCTTTTTCATTCCAGCCATAACTCATTGCTGCTGCTTCAAAATGTTCCAAGAAGTTTCTCTGTCGAATGCTGGCGCTTTTAATGTCTTTGCAGTCACGTGGCTTACAAATGTAAAGTTTATTTTCTTAGTTTCTTCCAGTTCTTGTTTGGTTTATCCACTTCGCAAGATAACTTCTGTCCGAGCCCGACAATCTTTTGATCAAATTTTGAAGTGACGTCTTCTATTTTTGCATTGATAACTGAAGATTGCTGTTCAGCCTTGACATCAAATTGTTCTCTGAGTTCTCTCAACTGTTGTATTATTTTAGCATCAATCGCGGCTGACTGTATATATCAATTTATTATCTCATTACTTAGACCGTTCCTTAAGGATACTTCCAATATTTTTCTCAGCATCTGCATTTCTGTTCTCTCCAGCTTTCTTAAGTTTTCAGATTAAAGACCATGCCATTTAATAACGTATGAATCAGAGAAGGTAGATTTTAGCACAGTAGATTTTATTTTGGCCAAAAGAAAATAACCATAGGTGTTTTTGAAATGTCAGAACGTTTCGTAATGAAGAATGTGTTCAAACGATCAAAAAAAATTTGTGTGGTACTGTATGTGTTTTGTGTATGTGCGTGCGTGTGTGTGGGTAAACTTGATTCTTCATTTTTAAAAATTGATTACATCACTTATTATTAGATGATGAAACATTTTACAATATTATGCCACACACTATCCTTAGTTCTATATTTTTAATAGTCAAAAAGTTCAATTTACAAAATTAATTTAACTACAGATCTTAATGCTTTAAAGAATTTTCTTGTACAGTCATCTAAAGGCCGATGTAAGTGTTGTATTATGTTTATTTGTATTAAGTTAAAATTATTTTTCTGCTTGTGATAGACCCTTGAAATTGTTGCAATTAGTATATTGTTATAACTGTCCCGATCCGGTCGACGACGAGTTCGTTTTATTCCCAATGGAAAATAGCGACACGAAATAGCTTTCAAACTATTGTTTTATTTAAAAATCAATAATCATTTTAATCAAATAATCAAAGTTAGTTAATTTTGGAGAATGGAATAAGATTTTTTGAATCAAAGTCTAGAGCTATGCTTTTTCCAACAAAAAAAGTTTTTTCCGAAATTAAATTTTCATGGAAATAATCTTGAGTTCTCACAAGAATACAAATATTTAGAAATAATATTTGACTCAAAATTAAATTTCATTCCTTATATTTTGGAAAAAAAAGAAAATGCCTAAAAGCACTCAATTTTATCAAAATGTTATCCCAACATAAATGGGGAGCGGACAAAAAGCATCTGATAACAATTTTCTAAGCAACTATACAAGCAATTTCAGTCTATGGCTCTTCACGAAAATCCTACATAAAGATTTTACACCCAATAGTCAACGAATCGTTAAGAAGCTGTCTAGAAGCATACAGAACATCACTATCCATAAGTCTCCATTCTCCAATTTATTCAAATATATACAGATGGATCAAAAAAGCCATTAAATTTAAGACACCAAAAATTAGCCATAAGTTGTTATCAAATCTCAAATGAAAAATCCCGCATTCAAATACATAACCGCAAAGGCCAAGGCACCAAAGTCAAAATTAATTCCAACATTTTCAATAAGACTAAATGAATATATCAAAGACATTAGAAATACAAAGACCGTGAAGGAATTAAAGTTTAAATTTTCTTCCTGGTTTCTAAAGCACCCATAAATAAATACGTCAATAACAGGAACGGACCAAGATGTAAATTTAGCAAAAATCTTAATTTAAGAAAAAATTAATAACAATTTAAACTTTATTCAAATATATGCAGATGGATCAAAAAGGGAAAATTCAACGTCTATAGCAGTGGTGGCCAACTGACAAAGGAAACGTATTCATGGATTAATGATGCACCTACCAAGATCTGCTTTAATATACACCGCAGGGATCTTTGCTATAGACTTGGCTTTAAACTTTATTATTAATTCAGAAAAAAATAAATTCATAATATTTTCGGGTTCCTTGTCTACCGTATCAACCTTGAAACAATACAAACCTCTAAATCCATTAATAATTCAAATGCAAAATAAGATTCATAATATTCCCATCCAGCCACATTGGAATTGAAGGAAAATAAAAGGTAGATCAGATGGATTCTCAACTCATTTGATGCCAATATCTAGAGTTCCATTTCCGTCCAGTGATTTAAAAAATTTAACAAACAATCTTAGTGTTGAAAAATGGCAGCTTAAGTGGATTAAAACATTAGATTTCTTAAAATTAAGTATGCCATCAGTAAATAACAAAAAGTTCAATAATGGTTATTTAAATCGTCATCTTCAGTCTTTTATCAATAGATTAAATATAGGACACTCAGCAATTACACATTTCTGGATCCTCAACAAAACAAAGACACCTAATTGTGAAGCTTGTAACAAAAAACTATCTATTCAGCATATATTAACTGAATGTGAAAAATACGATCAGATCAGAAAGAATGTTGATCATCTGAACGTATTTGAAGACATGCAACTAATTTCATCTTGCATTTTTTGTACATTTGAAAACCAAAGTGGCAATATTGGATACAATTCTTTTTTTACTGGTAGGCAATGGAGATGAAGTAATGTCGGGCTAACATGATTGAATTTCAACCAACCAGAGACGAGTTTTGCTGCATGAATTTGCAATGACTGCTAACGACCTTATTATCGGAGATTTTGTAAAAAATACTGTAGCAATAATCTGATTTTAAATGGACGATAGCATGAATTAAACATTTTAATTTGTTTTCATCGAGTGAGTGTGTCTGAGCCTGTAAAGTGGAAAGCAACATTGTTTGTTCAGCATCTTAATACGCTGATCTATAGGCATTTTACTGATGAAGATGACACCCAAATTGTTGACAGCATCACAAAAGTTAACAGTGAATTCAAATATATCAACGGAGTTGACACGTTTTATTTGTGACTGTAACAACTGTGTTTAATTTTTATTCCATTTTAATTTGTTGTTTATAATCTAACAAACAAAAATATTTTATCAAGGATTAACTGAAAGATAACACTACAAAACGGCTGATTTCCGGGTACCAAATAAAACCAAAAATAGTAATCACTGTGTAAATCAATGTCAAAACTAATTATTTCACATTGGCTAAATTGAATCAGTTGTAAACAAAAATAAGCAAACTCAAAAACAATAACGAAAAAAACACAAAACATTAAATTAAATACAAGTTAGATCGTTGGTCAATATATATATCTACTTGTTTAATTTGTTTTCAAGGCAGCAGACAAACTTGTCAACCGAATATTTAAACGACAAAACTAAATTATTACAACAATTATCTGAACATCATCAGCGACCTTATGATATTTAAAGTTAAATTTGTTATTTAACGAAAATGCATCAGCTGTAAACAACACAAATTACAGAGATTTCAAACTGAACCCTAAAAAACTCCAGGTACAAAGACTTCAACAACAGATAACATATTGTCCAAAAAAGATCTGTAGCGTCCTACTCAATACAAATGATTTGAAAGACAAGGCGACAACACCAAAACGACATTTATGTTTCTGAAAGAGCAGACTAATCGGCGCTGTTAAAGGCTGCATTCTTATTTAATTGTGCCAACAATGAGACACTTCGAGGATCAATTAATGCAAATAAATCTGATGAAACTTTGATTAATGCAAACTCGGTAGAATAATGAATGGTCATTAAATCAAATGTGTTTAAATGTTCCAAAAACTGTTTGGAAACAACATGTTTGACCTTTGAAAATGTAACCCTCAATTAACCTAAAACTAGAAACCGCTAGTTTCTAGTTACTCCTATCCTCTCTCCTATTAACAAGCTAAAACAAATAACACTATGACCGTTTTTTTTTTATTAATATATGAAATTATATTGATATATTTTTGTAAAAACAACGACAAATAAGTCACAAAATAACGTTAAATTTATTAGCAAAAAACACGCGCGTGGTGTGACGAATTCAATAACGTATTTCACTTTATAATTTTAATTGTATTTAACTGATAGGCCGAGGAAACAAACCGTCTATAAAGCCAAACAACAATTTAAAAAAATAAGACGAACGTGTAGTTAAAACCACAATAAAAAATTTAAACATAAACTAAATTCAAATCAAATATCAGAATATATAGATAGAACCAAACAACAAATTAAAAAAAATAACAGACTTGAAGTTTAAACTACAAAAATGTAAAACAATTTAAGTCAAAATATTAAATTACAATAAAATTAGTTTGATTAGAAATTAGAGATTAAACAAACAAAAAAAAACTAAAAATTTTAAATATAATTTATAACTTTTTTCTAAAATATTGAAAATTGATACTAAATTTCTTTTAATCCCGTAAATTATTAGAATTTTTAAAAATACTAATAAATGGGCTTTTAAAATGCAATGTAGTTCGAGGAATAAAGTGTAAAATTATTGAAACCTTCTTAAAAGTCTTGTTGAATGATGCAATGATGAATGTTGAATGATGATGTCGTTGAAACATGGAGAATATTTTTTAATTAAAGCAGTTGTTTGTTGACGAGGCAGATGAATTTGATTTAGTGATTTGGTATTAGTCGACTTGATGTGGTGACTGGTAGGGCTAACATCAATTTTTTTCCTCCTAATAAAATTGTTTCTGTGATTTTTTGATGATTTGTAAACGAGAATCTGGGCTTTTTCCAAATTATTATGCAATACGAATAATATGAGAGTATTATAGTATTATGAGACTGTTATGTTACGAGAGAATTTATATTTGAACTCCTAAATCTTTTGAAACTTTACTGGCTACGTAAACGTTATACTCCATCTATGACAAGTTGCTGGTAATGATGACCCCGAGAAACTTAATCAAGGCCCATCGTTTGATCATTTTCATTCTCGTGCTTAAATCAAACTTTATTAAATAAGTAAAAATTTTTGATATGAACAACATACAAATCTTTTCCCGGTATCAACGTATCAACTATCAACATATTCGCTTTAAACAGATTTGCAACATTTAACTATTCTGTTCTTAATTCCATCATCAATGTATCAATATCGCGGTCATTCATCACTACCATCAGCAAACTTTATTAATTGGAAATTTCTAAATAAATGTCTCATGTCGTTAACATAAAAATTGAACAAAAGTGGTCCTATTACCGAACCCTGTGGCAGATCTTATTGTAATGAGCAGCTGGACCCAAAATGTGTAGTTGGAAAAATTTTTTGGCAGTTGGAAAAGGCACCCTGGGCAGTCAAAATGTAAACTTATGGGCAGTAATAAAACAAAAAAAGGTAGCTAATATTTTGTACTTACAATTACTTACACTCAAGCACTCACTAGACAGACACAAACGAGTTTTTTTTACTTTGAATCAACATAAAATATTGTATGCACATATATATGAATAACAAACCACTTATCACTGTACTGAACAACTTGAAATAAAGGTAACGACCAATATCAATGAACAAATGCCAGTTAAGTACTAAAACTAATGTACGAAGAAAGGGACATTCGAATTTAGATACGAACTGTGTTAAGAACTTACGAAGTAAAAACGTACGACTGAAGGTTAATAATAGTTAATACAATGACTGATTGGTTGATTTGATACAGTATACGTCAAACGTTTGATTTACGTTATAGAAAAATAATTAAAAAATAAGTAAATGAATTGAAGATTTGGGCAGAGGTCGCCATAGCCATAGCGCACCGAAGTAACATCTGTTTACCAGCCTAAAAGTATGCGTGGTCTATTTCGGATCGCAAAAATTCGCAATTGCATGTTATAAAACATAATCGATTAAGACAATGACGTCCTAATTTAGCTAAGAAATATTTTAATATTTTTAATTGGCGATTAAAAAAATTAAAGTAGTTTGTGGGACGCGAAAATCATGGGCAGTGGGAAAAAAATATTAGAATATTTATTAACTGGCTTGATCCTTGACCAAACACCCTTTAAATCAACATATGCCTTCTTTTTGATGAAAAGCTTTTCAACCATTTCAATACTAGACAACATGCAACAAACCATCATGGTCGATTGTATCTAACGCCAAATCGATTGTATCTAACGTCAATTCTCTATTTTCAATGTTACCAGCAACAAAACTAACTAAATTCAAAGCGGCAAACTCTGTAAAATAATTTTCTTTAAAACCATATTTATTTGGTGAAAAAACATTATGCTTGTTTAGAAAATTTAGCAATCTTTCCATAACTTTTGAAAAACTAATATGAGAGAAAGTGGTCTATAGTTATTGATAACCTTTGAAAAAACTGATATGAGAGAAAGAGGTCTATGATTATTGATTTCTGTGATTATTGATTATTGTTTCCTGCTTTTTTAAAACAGAAATTATTTTTGTTATTTTTAGAATTGAAGGAAATCTACCGGGGCTCAAAGATAAGTCAACTAAAAAGGTTGAAACGGAAACAATACATGAAATACATTTTTTAAAAACTGCCTTAGAAATATTATGACCACTGCTGTTTAGTTTTATCCCGTACTATTTTGATGATCTCATTTTCATTCGCTTCCTGAAGAAAAACTGAATGATATCGTTGAAAGTAAAAATTGATGAAGTCTTTATCGGACACTCCAATATGTTTTCAGAAAGGTTAATAATTGGTTTACATCAAAAAAGGTGCAGATTGGATAGGGATCTGATAGACCAGCCTCAACCACTAATATGTTATAAATTAACAAGTTGTTGGTGAAAATATTATCTCTTAATAAACTAGAGTGCTTGATAATTCTAGTATGAGATGTTATGAGAAGATGAGAATTAAACAACTGTAATGTTCTTAAAAAACCGATGTTATTTTTCGGTTATCACCATTTATTAGGTTTATATAGAAATTTTCCAACAAATATATCAGTTTTATTTGTTTATTAACTTTGTACAGCAAACTATCTAACATTTCATAACACTTTCAAAATCCGAATTCGATGGTTTATAAATTGTGTCGGTAGTAGGTAAAAATAAATTCAAAAGCAATTCAATGGAAAATAATTTCAAATGCAATCCAATCGAAAAAATCATTTTTGACAACCAGATCATCTTAGTTAACTTGGAGAGACGACGTAAGTTGTCGCATGTTGACCGGCGAGAAGGCTCAGTGTTTCAAATGCGCGCTGAGTCAAACATCTCAATGGCTATCATATACTCAGCGTATATGATGCGGTGCTTGCGCGTGCACATAAATACATGTGTACCTCGTGTGAAACAGATAAACAGCTTTTGTGGCGAAGATGTCTGCTTCAAATCGATGAATGAAGATATGAAGAGCATAATAAAAGATTATAGATAATATATGCGTAACCTTGAAAGAGGTTTTGCGTATGTCGGAGCTGCAATAATAAAGACTAAAAAAATGTTGTAATGTATGGAGTGAAAATTTTAGTAAAGAGCATTAGATAAGTAACTGACTAAAGGTTTTTATGGGTTGTCGTGTTAGTGCGTGTTACAAATATCCTGGTTAAAATTCAGCCATCAATATCGGTAATTTGTCATTTGTTAAATATAATGACAACAATAATGAATAAAACAATGAAAAGGAAATGAAGATGTAATTATTGTGTCTTGATACAAAGACAAATGTTATTGTCATTTATTTACTGATCCATTGTTGATAATGGTGTTAATTTAGTTATTAACAAATACCTCAAACATCTATTTCGGGCTATTTAAACTCGCTGAATTACAATCGGCTGGGATAATTATCAATAATTTTGCAAACTAACGCTCACTTTTTATTTGCATTAAAACTTAAATAAAATATACTAACTGTTCAGTAATGAAAATTACAGTCTAAAAATGTAAAAAATCATTATATTTTAAAAACCACTGTGAATTACGTAAATTACATTATAAAATTAAAAAACTTTCAATTGAACCTTTCAAATATACAGTTTATATTTTCAGTGTCTTTCAAAGAATCAAAAATGCCTTGTGCCTATAAAATATTAATTCAGTTTGAAAAATTACTTTTTGGATGGGAATACCCTTTATGGTGGCAGAAGATCTCGAAAATTATAGAAGTGTTTGTCATGGATCCATTTTTAGACTTATTTATCACATTTTGCATTATTTTCAACACTATTATATTGGCAATTGATCACGCTGATATACAAGAAGATGTATCGAACGTCCTTAGAATAGCTAATCTTGTTAGTTGAAGCAAATTTTGGGTATTTAACTCAATTTTATCATCTCGTATATTGATTTTTCTACGTTGTTATAATTATGATGTTCAGCATTTTATCAATTTGTCGTAGAATCTTTCTTTTTCCAATTAAATTTGATTTTACACGTCTCTTAATTTTTTAAAGTTGTTAGTCACTAAAATTTCAAAAGAAAATTAAGTTGAATTTGTTCACATGTTTTCTTCAATCATTCAATCAATTTGTTTGTAAAACGCTATTTCCGCGATGTCCTCGTGAATTTTACCAAAAAAATGGGTTTTGAGATCCGCTCTGAACTTTTCAGGTGATAGAGAAATAGTTAGAGAAGGCAGAAACTCTCAGAGAAAAGGGCCAGGAAAAGCAAACTCTGAGAGTGTTTAACACGAGTTAAGAAAAAGTGAGAATAAGACGATCGTGAACCGGGGAGATTTTTTTTCTTTAATATATTTAGGTTTGTTATGTATAATAACATCTTCTCCAGTCGCGGATTACTAACTAGAGTTGATTAAGACAGGCAATATTTAGGACACTTTTTATAGCCTCTTCTTTATTTTAAAGAGGTATGCAGTGCATTTCTGAAAAAAGCTGCTTAGACATCCAGACCACCGTTGAATTCCAGCGCTGTCTTGTTTATAGGAAAGAGATTCCGTACCCCGGACTGCCAACGTGCAGCATTCTGTTTTTATCTGCCACTTTGCCACTTGCCCATCACTGCAGGACTTTTGCTGTTTAATTAACATGAAATGAAAGATGGAAGGAAGACGAGAATGTAGCTTACACGATTAATATTGATGAAAGTTCATCGAGGACAAACAAAATCGCATCAAACTAAATAACTATACTGAAAATGGCAGTTGATTCTGAAAATAAGCTTAATTTGTAGTACTGTAGTATTAATCTTGTTAATAATGTTTGATTTTAAAAAATGTTAAGAATTATTATTTAAGACTTTTTGTTTAATCTTAATATTCTAATAAAATGAAGTCCTTGTTCAAAAATAAAGAAACTCAACAATAAGTTGAACAATGCCGAAAACGTAGTAATTTTATGAATAATTGTACACATAATATTGTAATTATAATTTATTATTTATTTTTATCAGTGCTCGCCATGTAGAAATATCCAAGAAGTAACATGCTAAAGGTTTTTAGCAACGCCACAAGTGGTGTCAATCGTTAAAAGTAATTCAACAAGACGTTTGAAGATGTTCTCTAAACTTTTAATGTGATATTCCAGATTTCCGTAATTTTTTAGCCAAACTATTCCAGAACACAGGACCAGCCACTGCAAAATATCTATTAACTGTTTTGAGATTGCGACATCTAACATACGTATATTTTCTCCAATCGGCTGGTCTAAATTTTTCATGAAACGTCATCAATTACAATAATAATCACGTTTATGTATTTGGCCAAATATTCCTGCGATGTAAACTATGAACACTGTCGGTCCGAGAACAGATCCTTGAGGAACTCCCGACATTAGTATCATTGACTCCGAGCGCCGACCAGACTATGTAACCCGCTGTGTTTGATTAGTAAGAAATGATTCAAAACACATTAACATTATTAGACTATTCCAGTATTAAGTTTGTCCAAGAGGATTGACTAATAAAAAATTTTCTTGAATTAGTCGTTAACGTTGTATGACCAATAAAATGTCTCTTTTCACTGAACGCATATTGTGTATACGCCCAGCCTAAGGGTTTTATTTATTATAAAATTATTACTCAATATTGAAGTGCTAGACCATTAGGGCGGCGATCTCAAACAAGATTTTATTTTCTAATTTGAGTCATTAGCAATGAGCAGTGGTTTTGAATAGACCACAACCTAAAAAAAACTTTACGTTGTTAAAAAAGGGCGGAGGACACAAGTCATGATAAGCATTTTACAGTGATATAATCTACAATGATATCAATAAATGCATCAGACTCTGCATGACAGACTTGTTGACTGATTTTTCTACTGACCTCTGCAAACGCAACTTATAAACATTTCTTCACCATTTCATACTGTGCAATATATTAATATTTAATGCGTAAAATCATGAGTCAGTTAAACCCACAAATACAGAGCTCTAAAGGTATAAATATATGTACAACATAAAAATTTGTAGAACGTACAAATTTATATAGATATGATAAATCAGCGTTTCCCAACGTGAAGTGCAGGCCAGGAAGCAATTTCATACTCTAGGGGAGCGTTTGGACTTCACAAATCAGGGTGAAGTCGAATAAAATTTGCAGAACGAATAAGAAAAAGATGTTAAACACAGTGGAAAGTAAAAAGGAAATTTGATTATTGTATAATTGAGACAAAAATGGTAAAGGTTATCTGCTGCTTATGACTGGAGAGCACAGACGTTTTTGAACCGAGTTTCATGGGTTGAGAAGTTGAGAAGTTTTGCTAAATCAACAAACAACTTGCAAAATATAATCATCAACAGCAGCAATACTACTACTACTACTTCTGCTACTACTACTGCTACTGCTACTGCTACTACTGAAAAACAATTATAATAATATTAATTAATTATTATAGATGAAGATGATTATGATGATGATGATTATATAATATATGAATTAAATAACCGCATCGTTGACGTTCTATTCGTGGTTATATACGTAAGAGATAACAAAAAGCAATTGATTGAAATGAAACTTCAACTTGCAGGTATTCACAGTTATATTCACAACAGAAGTTTGCTTAAAAATAACGGCTCTTGGATTTCTGAAATATTTGGCGAACCGATGGAATTCCTTTGATTTGTTCATTGTAGTGCTAAGTTTGGCCGAGTTGGGACTACAAAAATTTAAACCATTCTCAATTTTGAGGTCTTTTCGATTGGTGAGTTTGTAAATAATTGCTAGTGCTTTTTAATTATTAGTCTTTGAATATAATTCTTATAAAATATTTATGCATTAACGTAAACGAAAAAGAATTGATTGATATGAACGATTGAAATTGCACATCAACATTTTTCTGAAGATTTGTGGTTTTATTTTTAAAAGCTCAAAAGTTATAAAAAAAAACATTATTCCAATACAATGGGTATTAAAAAATTTTTGCTTTTTGAAGTGAATCGGTTTATACTTTTTAATGTAAAACATTGTAGGAACAAAATCTTGATAAACCAACTATCAATTGTTTAGTGTTACTGTTATGAATTTTTTTCCTTTCTAAGAGCGGGTTGTGTACAATTGACCTACCAAAATGACAGTGTTAAACTATGGTTAGGCCAAATACAATATTTCTTCTTTCTTATTACTGCGTTTCATTTTAACGCAAACAAGTTTGTTTTTACAAATTACAAATAAGTTACTAGTTTCTTATAGAATTACAAAAAACATGCTCAGTTTGTTAGATCACATTAGTTTTAATTATAACATATTTTGATTTTTCAAATTTTTAGTCGGGAAATAAATTTGAAAACTTTTCAAACTCACGAATAATAAATAAATTATTTTAGCTGAATGAAGAACGTTATTTGCTCTTGAGCAAAATTTATTTTTGAAAATATTAGTTACTCTCAAAATCTAATAAATGAAATAGATCGTGCTAATGTTTAGACAATATTTAAACACTTAACAGATGATGTAACGGAAATAATTTTTTTCTTCAAAATGATCAATAAATTGAGAACAAGTGATGTCTACATGTTCCTGAGACGATTCATTATCATAATTTTTGCAAATGATTTTATTAATTACTTTCCACAAATTTTTAGGGTTTCCGTCGTTTTCCTTTACCAGTGTTTTCCAATAACAATTTCTTTTTTAGAGAAACATTTAGTTTTTTTTCGCAAAGCAGCAATCCACTCACTCCGACAGGCAGATGATAAATATTTTCTATATTTCCTTTCTTTCTGTCGACAAAGTTTTTTAACTGCTCTGCATTCATCATCAAACCAAGGAGTTATCAAATCGCATCTGTGTTCTATAAAGTGAAGAGGCGCAACTTTTGCATCTTTCAATGTGAACGTTAAAATCACCAACCAACAATATGCTCGAACTTAGGAGTGTTATGTTATCTAAAACTTTTGACAATTCTTTGAAAAATAATGCATTCACTTGAACTGAACCAGGTCTGTATAGAGATAACAAAACAAAATCTTTACTGTTTATAACAAATTTGAGAGCGACAACTTCGAACGTGTCAAAAGGAGGCAGATCAATCTTTTTATATTTGAAGTTTGATTTAAAGAATACTATTATTCCCCCATGATGCGGATCATTCAACCTCAAGAAATCAACATATCTAAACCCAGGTGGCATCGATGACTTTACTGATACATTTTCTGTGGAACCATGCCACGTTTCTACCAAAACAAGAATGTCTAAGCCGTCTTGAATCATTTCGTAAAGTTTATCCGAGTTTGAATTAATTGATCTAATGTTTAACATTCCCAGCAATACATTACAATCACTCATCACATCATTTCTAAACATCACCTCTTCCGTGCTTATGCTACTGGTGTGTTTTGTTTCGTTTTCATTGGAAACGACACTATTTTCCATCTTCCAACCGGTCCTCTGACCCGGAATAAAAAACCTCGTTTATCATCAGATTCCAATTTCTTAGCTTTTTCAACCAGCATCTTGTATTCCTGTTTTTGTTCTTTAACAAAATAACAAAATAAAACAACAAAATAAAACGAGACACCAAAGTAGTTGACAAACCAGTTTTTGATGGATGTAAATTAAACAGTGGTTTTTTGTTTTCAAATTTTGCAGTGGTTTCAGAAGAAGATGTAAAAAAAATTGTTCTTAATCTGCCATCTAAATCTTGCATGTTAGACGTCCTTCCTACTCACATTTTGAAAAAACATATAGACCTCTTCATCTCGTTTCTCACAAGTTTAGTTAATTTATGTTGGTGTGCTGGAGCACTTCCTGTTTCTTGCAAGCATGCGGTTGTGATACCCATCTTGAAAAAAACAAACGCAGATTTTAATGAGCTCGGAAACTACAGACCGATATCTAACATTTGTTTCATCTCCAAAATCATAGAACGTGTCGTAGTAGGTGAACTTGTAAATCATTTAAATAAACATAATTTGTTCCCGATTCATCAATCTGGATATAAACGTTACCATTTTACAGAGACGGCATTGTTATATGTCTTGTCCGAATTATTTGCCTCCATCGACAAACAGAATATTGCTCTACTCGACATGAGTGCAGCGTTTGACTGTGTCGATCATCAAATTCTATTGAACAGATTAATTCACGACTTTGGCATTGCTGGAACTGTTATCAAATGGTTTGACTCCTATTTGACTGGAAGGACTCAACAGGTATTTTTCAAAGGGCATCTGTCTAGTGTAAAAACAAAGTCATCCGGAGTGCCATAAGGTTCAATACTTAGACCTATTTTGTTCATACTGTATACAGCTGATGTATTTAATGTAATTGATACTTTTGGTTTTTCTTATCATGCATATGCCGACGACATTTAAATAATAGTCAGCAGTGAACCAGATCAGTTCGAAAGTGCAGTTGAAAGACTAATAAAATGTTTGGCTGAAGTTGACACATGGATGTCAAAAAATTGTCTAAAACTTAATTAAAATAAATCACAGTTTTTACCAGTGGGCATCTGGCAGCAGCTATCAAAAGTAAAAATTGATTCAATAATGATTGAAGATAATGAGATAAAATTTTGCAAGAAGGCTACCAATTTGGGATGTATTTTTGACACTAAATTAAAACTTTGCAATCTAAATCATGTTCAGCACAACTTCAACAAATATACCAAATAAGAAAATATCTGGATCAAACTGTAACACAATCATTGGTTCATGCGTTTGTCCACTCGAGATTGGATTATTGCAACAGTCTGTTTTATGGGTTGCCAGAAAGGTCTATCGCTGACCTCCAGTCTATTCAGAACAGACCTGCAAAGGTGATTGTTAGAGGCAGAAAATACGATCATGTGACGCCAATTCTGAATAGCCTGCATTGGCTAACAGTGAAGAAACGAATTTTTTACAAAATATGCGTCATTATGTACAAGGCCATAAACGGACAACTCCCAGAATACCTGGCTGATAGATTCATAAAGAAGCCGCTGTCTTCGACTGGCAGACGCATGCGATCAGATGACGTCAATTTGTTGATTGTACCAACTACGCAGCTGCAGACATCGTCTAGAGACATTGCAGTGTCGGGACCAATCGTCTGGAATAGTCTACCAATGTCGATGAGAATGTCAAAGATGAACATTGTTGATTTCAAAAAGAATTTGAAAACTTATCTATTTGCGATGAACGATTGTAATTGATTGTATCATATCGTCTATTGATAGGATGTACATTATTTCACTGTTTGTTTATTATTTTTCTTTTTTCGGTAGCGCTTGTGAGAGATATTTATTTTAATAGGCGCTTTATAAGTGTTTGATAATATATATATATATATATATATATATATACAGTCTTAATCCAATATATATGTCAAATCAAATATTGTAGTTATATAGCGCCAATTATAATTGCTTCTCATCAGCGCTCTTCTCGTATGAAGCATGTTGAAAGCGAAGCCATCATCGGTAAAGATCACTAGGAGTTACCAAATAGGTATGTCTTTAGACGTTTTCTAAATTCAGCTAATAATAATCCAGATATACGTAATTCGATACGTAGGCTGTTCCAATAGGCTCAGCAACTGCAAAATCTCTATCTGCTGTTTTCAAATTCCGATCTCTTAACATACAGCGTGTTTGAATCAGCAGACCTTAGACGCCCATGAGATGACATAGATGAAACTCTAATACATTTATTTTTTAAATATTTCGAAGCCAAACCATTCAAACTTTCAAATATCATTACACCAAACTTGAACATGATTCTTTGTTTAATTCGCAGCCAATGCAACTCCTTTATAATTGGTGATGCACGATCAAATTTTAATTTGCGGTATATCATTCTAGCAGCCTTATTCTGAACATCTGAAGTTTAGACAACAGTTTATCAGCTATGCCATATAGAAGACTGTTACAATAATCCAATCTAGAGTAGACGAAAGCATGTACCAATAAAGTCATTGTATCTCTATCTACCAATTTTGTGACTTGACGTAACTGACGTAGTTGAAACATACATTTTTTAACTAATTGACTGACTTGTGGACCCATTTTCATACGGGAGTCCATCACAATTCTCAAATTGGTGACCGTTATACTGAAACTTATATCAGTCATGCTGATGTTAATCGATGAAGGTTCAACCGCTGACGTTTGTTACCATGTACCAGCCAACATGAACTGAGTCTCAACTTTAGCCTACTTTGACCCAGCCACGAGCCGACATCAGATATAGTTTTTGTCAGTTTCTCCAATGCGATAGGCATCTCATCTGGAAAACATGAAACACAAATCTGCATGTCATCTGCGTACCCATGGCAATAATAACCATCTTTATTCAGTAAATCCAATATCTCTGCAACGTACAAATTAAAGAGAATCGATCCAAGAACAGATCCTTGAGGCACCCCTGACATAAGTTTCATTGGTTTCGAGAGACCACATGAGTAAGAAATCTGCTGAGTCCGACCGGTAAGAAATGATTCGAACCACGTTAACGTAATCTTATTTAAACTATAACAATATATCAGTCTGTCCAACAAGATTTTACGATTCACAGTATCAAACGCCAAACTCATGTCCAGGAATGTCAACAAAGTAACTTTTTGTACATTAACTGCTGAATAAATGAGAGAATATATCCGATAGAGCTGTTTCGGTCGAATGAAACCTTCTATATTGATGCAAACCAGATTGATGCAAAGGCCAAATACCATTTTTATTTATATGATTATTTATAACTAATTCAACGGAACGTTCTGTAA